GCGCCCGCACCGGCTGTCTCCAGCAAGGGTGGGCCTGGCCTGCTCCAGCAGGGCCCAGCTCAGCTCACCTGTGCAGGCTGGGCCAGCGCCCCCCAGCGGCAGGGCCCGATCTGTACAACGGAGAGGGACACCACCTTCCTAAGCACTTAGCGGCCAGGCACACAGCAAGTTAAGGGCGGGTCAGCCGTCAGCGTCGGACACCATCAGGCGACTTTGCTGGGTTTGTAGGCTCCAAACCGTAGGACACTGGCAATTACATATGGTTCGTCCTAATGTATTACAGTTACTGACTGCAACAATAAAACCAAATTCTCTATTCTTTTTAGTATCACGAGGTTGCAAGGTTAACTCGGAAAACAATGAACTATTTCAACTAACTCTGACTAGCATTTTTCTTATGTTCTCATATTGCACAGCCAAAGAGGCAAAGAAAAAAAAAAGAATGGAAGGAGAGTTTGATGTAAACCGGCAACTATCTTGTTCATCAAAACAGCTTCAGTCCTTCCTGATTGCCTTAATAAGTGCATTTTTGAAATATGAAATACTGTAAAAAAATTTAAAGAAATAGTTAGCTTTATTTATTTATTTATTTTAATTTGACCAGAGAGGGACACACACACACACACACACACACACAGAGAGAGAGAAAGAGAGAGAGAAAGCTGCCCGGTAACCGCAGTCGGCCATGTGGGAGTCCAGCGCCCTTAATCACCATGCCACTTACCAGCCCCAAAACACTATAATTTTTTTTTAATTTTTAAAAGAATTACTTTAAAGAATTACTTATTTATTAATTCATTTATTTTAATTTGAACAAAGACAGGCATACAGAGAGAGGGAAAGTAAGAAAAAGTAAGAAAGCAAGCCACCAGGTCTAGGACTTGAACCGTAGTCGGCCATGTGGCCATGTGGGAGTGTCCACTTTAACCACCCCACACCATCTGCTGGCCCCCAAAATACTATAACATTTTAAAACAGAATATGTTTACATATTGGATTTTGGTATAAGATATTTTTAAAGAATTATTTAATTTTATCCATCCATTCATTTATTATTATTTTTTAATTTGACCAAAGCAAGACACAGCAAGCGCGTGCGCGAGAGAGAAATAGAGAGGGAAAGTGAGAAAGCAAGCCACCAGGTCTGAGACTCAAACTGTAGTTGGCCATGTGAGTGTCTAGAACCTTAACCACCACGCCACCTGCTGGTCCCTGGTATAAGATTCTTTTGTCCGAGAGTACATGTGCTCGCCACAGGGAGAAGCCACAATGGGGCATGGTCACATTGCAATCCTCTTTCCTTCATCTCTGTCCTGCTAGGATTTGGGCACATGTTCCTGGTGCGCTTTACAAGCTGCTGGGATGGGATTTGAAGATGCACCATGTGGGAGCCAGCTCCGGTAGTGCTTAACCACTGCACTTTTAAAGACAGAAGACTCTTTGTTATAGGGCTGTGAGTTCGCCAGAGTGGAGGGCTACAAGGCACCCCAACCACTCAGGTCTACTGAGCCTGAATTAGGCTGGCTTGCTGAATCTCTCCATAAATCCCACGAGCTGCCTCTGGCCAGCGTAGCAGTTAAGTGCTGTTCAGAGAAAGATGGATCCCCAAGCCCTGATCAGGGATCGAGTCCCACCTGGGCAGCTTAAAAGACACACCAGGGGGACCAGCAGATGGTGTAATGGTGACGTCCCTGAATTCCCACATAGTCGACCATGGTTTAAGTCCCAGACCTGATGGCTTAAACTCAAATTGTGTGTGTGTGTGTGTGTGTGCCCAAAATCCCAAGAGGAGAATGGAGGAAAAGAAATTGCAGTGTGTCCATCCCCCCTGGGGGGTGATTTCTCACTTTTTGTCTCTGTCTCTCCAGTGAGCCCACGTGCCCTATAGCAAAAATCTCTCTTAAAAAAAAAAAACAAAAAAAACCCAAAACCCAAAACCAAAACAGACATACCAAGAAGGTGTGCATGTACGCAGGATCCTGACAGGATGGAGAACAGGAGGAAAAAGGATTGGCATGCTGGGGCCTGTTGGGGTGTGCGTTTTCACATGCACCCTCTGGCATTAACAACCAAGCGAGGACAGTCGGCCATCCGCAGGGTGCTGACTCGATACTGTCCCCAAACACGCGTGGGGATCACCAGGTTGAGCGGTAGGAGCTGGACGGGTCATCTCAGTGCCCGTCCAGTGCCAGCACAATGGGTTAACAGGTGTCTGTCCTCAGTACCGCTGACCAAGTGCCCAGGCCACGCGGGGCAGTCCCTCCGTAATCACTTCCTGGGCCCTGGCTGCCAGGGGCCTTATTGTTCTGGCGAGGCCGAGGGGAGGCAGACCTGCCTGAGGGCCTGTGGGCATCGCTGCTGTCACTCATAGCGGAGGAGGAGGCTGAGAGCTCTGAAGTGCAGAGGGGGCCGTCACTTGGAAACGGTCATCATACCTCTTTGGGGAAAGGTCCTACCTCAGCTGGACAGGCTTTTTCTGTGGGAGTTTTCTGCCCCAAAGTGCCTGTTGAGGGGATGAGCAGCGGGCTTCCCTGAGGCAGCCGTGGGTGGGTAGAGTTTTCTGCCCAGTCTGGTCATCACAACCACAGGAACATTTCCACAGCAGACCAGGACCCGTCTGGGGCAAGCTGGGGGGACAAGTGGCCCTCACCTGCCAGCCTGCAGCCCACCGGGGCAACCACGGTCAGGTCTACTGAGCCTGAACTAGGCCAGCTTGCTGGATCTCTTGATAAATCCCACGATCTGCCTCTGGCCATACACAAGCTTGGGTGGCAATGCTTGGTGCCTCTGGGGGTGCAGGAGGGCCTCAAAAGAGGGAGAAACAACACAGTCTGTGATCCTCAGGAGCTGGAGCTGAGGAGGCTACTGAGGTCCTCTGAGAGAGGACATACTCAGGAAGAGACTGGGGCCCAAGGAGCAAGGGGCCATGCCAGGCCATGAGGTGTATGGGAGGTGGGAAGGGCATGGGGACTGGATCAGAAAAAGCTGCTCAGAAAATTCACACAGTTTTCTCACAATGAAGTAGCTTTATTTTGTTTTTCTGATTATAAAGATAATACATAAATTTTAAGCAATATAAAATGGTATAAAAATGAAAAGTAATGTAAAATTCCATCTCTAGAAGTGACCATAGTTAACAATTCAATGTCTTTCCTATGTATATAATTTTATATAAATGGGTTATATCATACACGCAATTCTATAACCTGTTTTTCTCACTCACAAATGAGTTTTCCTTGTGAGTAAAATTGCTAAACGTTCTCTTCAACGGCTGCGCAGCACCTGATGTGTGACTGTACCATGATTTATCTAATCCCTTCCTGATGGGCATCTAGGTTAATTTTAGTTTTTGCTGCGATGAGCTTCGTGGGCCAGTCATCTTCATGGACTTTCTAGAAGCATCTAGGAGGATCCTCAGTGAACATTCTGGCACACAGGCAAATACCCCTATCTCCTTACACTCACACGTCCACCTACGATGTTGAAGGCCTGTTTCAGGCAGATGCAGTTCAAGAACTGAAGTTAGGGACAGGAGCTGAGAAAGGGTGCTTCAGGGATAAAACCCAGCAATCACAAAGGGGCCTCAGGCCACACAGAAAGAGAAGCTCCTGTTTGGAATCAGTCTCCATGAGGTGTCAGCCCTGCTGTGAGAACTGAGATTAACGGGAAAGGCAAGTCCAGTTGGGCCCTGTCACGGAAGGCTGTGAACACCAGGTGACAGCCTGAAACAGGAGCCCCGCCCTTCACCAGTTGCCTCCTTAGCACCTGTTTTGAGCGTGAACCTTTGCTGGGGGCCATGGACTTGGGAAGACAAACAACCTCAGCCGACAGTCCGGTGGAGAGCACCCACAGAGCCACATGGCTGGTATCAGGAGATGTCGCCTGGTGAGGTGAGGTCTGCACCATCCCCAGGGTTCAGAGGACAGGACTGGCCTGTGCTCAGGCATCTCCAACTGTCAGTGCAGGAGCCCATGGTTCAGGCACAGGCCGCAGCCACGGTGTGTCTTTGGCCCTGAGAGAGACCACAGCCATCTCCTTCCTCTTCCCCTAAGCTGCCCAGAACTGGTGGGGGAAATCCCGCCACCTCAGGGTTTTATGCCCCTCAAAACCCATGGGCTTCCACCTCAGCTGGGCCCTAGGGATGCTCAGCAAAGGCCGTCCTAAGTGATTGCCTTATCACTTACAAGAGAGAAAGGGAGAGAGAGGCACCCCCAACGGGGCGTGGTCATGCCACAGTCCCTTCTCCTCCATCGCTCCATCCTGTTGGCATTTGGGGCATGCATGCACCCCCTAGCCTGTTTGTCAAGCTTTTGCTGGATCTCTTGATAAATCCCACGATCTGCCTCTGGCCATACACAAGCTTGGGTGGCAATGCTTGGTGCCTCTGGGGGTGCAGGAGGGCCTCAAAAGAGGGAGAAACAACACAGTCTGTGATCCTCAGGAGCTGGAGCTGAGGAGGCTACTGAGGTCCTCTGAGAGAGGACATACTCAGGAAGAGACTGGGGCCCAAGGAGCAAGGGGCCATGCCAGGCCATGAGGTGTATGGGAGGTGGGAAGGGCATGGGGACTGGATCAGAAAAAGCTGCTCAGAAAATTCACACAGTTTTCTCACAATGAAGTAGCTTTATTTTGTTTTTCTGATTATAAAGATAATACATAAATTTTAAGCAATATAAAATGGTATAAAAATGAAAAGTAATGTAAAATTCCATCTCTAGAAGTGACCATAGTTAACAATTCAATGTCTTTCCTATGTATATAATTTTATATAAATGGGTTATATCATACACGCAATTCTATAACCTGTTTTTCTCACTCACAAATGAGTTTTCCTTGTGAGTAAAATTGCTAAACGTTCTCTTCAACGGCTGCGCAGCACCTGATGTGTGACTGTACCATGATTTATCTAATCCCTTCCTGATGGGCATCTAGGTTAATTTTAGTTTTTGCTGCGATGAGCTTCGTGGGCCAGTCATCTTCATGGACTTTCTAGAAGCATCTAGGAGGATCCTCAGTGAACATTCTGGCACACAGGCAAATACCCCTATCTCCTTACACTCACACGTCCACCTACGATGTTGAAGGCCTGTTTCAGGCAGATGCAGTTCAAGAACTGAAGTTAGGGACAGGAGCTGAGAAAGGGTGCTTCAGGGATAAAACCCAGCAATCACAAAGGGGCCTCAGGCCACACAGAAAGAGAAGCTCCTGTTTGGAATCAGTCTCCATGAGGTGTCAGCCCTGCTGTGAGAACTGAGATTAACGGGAAAGGCAAGTCCAGTTGGGCCCTGTCACGGAAGGCTGTGAACACCAGGTGACAGCCTGAAACAGGAGCCCCGCCCTTCACCAGTTGCCTCCTTAGCACCTGTTTTGAGCGTGAACCTTTGCTGGGGGCCATGGACTTGGGAAACAAAACAACCTCAGCCGACAGTCCGGTGGAGAGCACCCACAGAGCCACATGGCTGGTATCAGGAGATGTCGCCTGGTGAGGTGTGCACCATCCCCAGGGTTCAGAGGACAGGACTGGCCTGTGCTCAGGCCTCTCCAACTGTCAGTGCAGGAGCCCATGGTTCCGGCAACGGCCGC